GCTCTAGTTTATATTGAAGGGAAACCCAGAGCTCTGAACCTGTGAAATCCAGAGTGATTTCGCCATTACTTAAGAGCAAAAAGATGGTGCCAGGGAATTTTGGGTACTGCTAGAGCAGAGCTCTGAATATTGATATAATATGAAAAGAAACTACTCAACTTCCTCAATTTTTTCTTTTTTTAATTTACAATTGTCTTCTTATCCTTAATACTTTAACGAGTACCCTGGGAGCAATTTTGAGGCAAAACTGGCATTCCAGTACTAACCATATCAGATAGGTTCGCATGGAGTATTTAGTCATGAGTAATATCTAATATAGTGAACAATTTATTTTTTGAATAATAATAATAAGGGGGGAGAGGAGAGTAATTTATAGTAAGAGAGTCAGTTGAAATGCCGGGGGGGGAGGGGCAGGGGGTAGACAGAGGATTTACAATAACAAAAGCTAAGTTTCATTTTTTTCATGTTTTATGTTTTGCTGGCCTCTGCTCTGCTCCTGCTCTGTTGTGTTCTGCTCTGTAAGGGAAAAAAAGATACACGTAGTTTCTTGTTGTGTTAAGTTCTTTGCTATATTACAACCACAACTTTTTTTTTTTCTGAAGTATACATGTAGCTCAATCAATCCCCCTCCCTCTTTTACACTTCTTGTGCACTTTCCGCAAAACCTTTACTTACATGAGAGGAGAAGAGGAGAGTGACTTCTATACTTTTTTTGGGTCAAAACTACCCCTCTTTTCAGCTTTTTCCAGCTGATTCAGTCATATCTATCAGGCCGCTTTCAACGAGTAAACTGTAACGGGAAGGTGTCAGACTGGCTGCCTCTTCGCTGTGGAGTGCCGCAAGGGAGCCTTCTAGGTCCGCTTTTTTAAATATCTTGGTGAATGATGTCAATTACTCAGCTGGATCTTCCTCCCTACGTCTGTATGCTGATGACACAACGCAATATATAGCCCATGAGAGCCACTGCACACTAGAATCTACACTCAATCAAGATATAGAGAGATTAACCCTCTGGTTCACTGCGAATTACGTGCAAGTAAACGCTACTAAAACTAAGGCAATGGCATTGGGGAAACCTCAGTACCCATATAATCTTTTTATCGGTGATAAGTCCATCGAAATTGAACCAACTCTCAAGATTCTTGACGTTACATTGGATCGGGATTTGTCTTTCAAGCCCCACGTGGCAATCGTGCTGAAAAAAGCGTATGCTAAGATAGCCGTACTACGGAGGATTAAGCGCTTAGTTCCTTCGGACGTTATGATTTCCCTTTATATAGCCTACGTGTTACTGCATTTAGAATACTGTTGCCCACTACTTCTGGGTATATCTAAAGTCTTGAAAAATAACATCCAACGTATCAATCATTATGCGATCAAGACATTACTGAATTTAGGTAATGCGGCTACCTATGACTTTTGCCTAGCAATGGCTGATATGGACAAGCTTGAGCAAAGACGTACCCTGCAATCGCTTATCTAATTTTTTAAATGTTTTAAACTAGATGGCCCAAAATATATTTCCAAATTTTTTACACCTCGGCTAACTAAATACAATCTACGAGACAGTGGACTAAATGTTGTGCAGCCTCCATATAACAGCCTTGTCATGCACAACTCTTATTTATACATGATTGCCCACATATGGAATCAACTACCAACTGTCACCAAATCCTCGAGCACTTTAGCACAATTTCGGGCTCGCCTGAGTAATGTTGATTTCAGAGGGTGCCAGTGTATGAACTGTATATAACTTTATCTATTTTTACATTTTTACATACTGTTGGGCTAGTTTATACATATATAATTATAGATATAATTATATTTTTTAATATTTTAATCAGTTCATAACGATTAGTCCGTTTTAAACTATTTTTAATGCATGTTCTTAGGTTTTTTAGTGGTTTTTTTTTCAGAAAATAGTTTCTTAAAAATTTTTCTCAAAATTACGATGTTTTTAGGTCTTTCTTAATATTTGTATATACATAATTCACTTTTTAGCCTGCTTTTTATTTTTTAGTTGGTCGAGCGTTTTTAACGTGAGCCTCTGGCTCGGAAGATTGTGTAAACACTTCCCACGTCCTCGACATTAAATAAATCATTCATTCATTCATTCAATTTTACAATTGTATTAAATGAATGTGTTCCCTGTGTTAAATAATTTTACCATTAATTTTATTGATGAGTCGAGTATATTTTTCCATGGCTATTGAAGCTTCAATTGCTCATGTCTTGAGGGACAAGTTTGAAGGCCATCAATTCTGAATTATATTTGACTTTCCTTGTTTTCTTCCTCTTCTTTTTTCTTTTAACTTCCACCTATGTTGAGAGTTATTTCACTTCTTGGAAGTTCCCTACACTTGCCATATGTCTAATTATCTATAACACGCTGTGAAGTGAAAACTAACTTTTCAACGCACCTCTAGACATTACTTTCAAAATTCAACTCCTTGAATGCTTCCTGCACACACCTGGAATGAAGAAAAAGAAAAGGTGGAAGTATGTCTTTCTGGAAAGATATACTCCCACCACCACAACAAGTGCTCATGGAAAGAATGCTACGCAAGGTTTTTTATTTCCTTAAATTTGCTTTCCTGTGTGAAACGTTCTTTTCTATTATTCCCATTTTAATTTATTCCTCCTATAACCTCTCTTAAATTCTCATGTACCACGTAGAAAGCTCTCCAAACGTGAAAGTAAGTTATCTACTAGGCCCTGGGTTACTAAACCTATTCCTGCCAAAATTAGATATAGAGATAAGCTCTATTCCAAAATCATTAGGTGTAAACATTTTAATCCAAATTCGATATATCCTCATGAGAAATTCAGGAACAGTGTTGTCAAAGATGTTTAAGCATGCAAATCTGATTATTTCAAGGATTATTTTTTGTGTAATAAGAACAATATGAAAAAATCTGGTCTGGAATTAGATCAATCATCAACATTAGTAAAGTTAAAGCTGATTACATCCCTAGTATTTTAGAAACTGGAAAAATTGTTGACAATCCGTGTGCTATTGCTAACATTTTTAATAATTTCTTTGTTAATGTGGGTAAAAACACTGACAAAGACATTCCGTGTGGGAACTGTTGTCCAACCTCTTTTCTGAAGGGCAATTTTCCTGACTCAATGTTTCTCTCCCCTGTTACTTCAGTTCTTACATCTCTCAAATGGACAATAACAAATCCATTGGTCCTTATAGTATTCCAGTCCCATTGCTAAAAATTCTTAAGACTCATATTTCCCCACTTATTTCATCCCTAATTAATGATTCTTTTCTCTGCGGTATTTTTCCTAGTAAACTTAAATTGGCAAAAGTTACCCCAGTTTTTAAGAAAGGCTCTAGGCAAGACAAAGATAACTATAAGACAATATCAGTTCTATCTATTTTTAGTAAAATTTTTGAAAAGGCTATGTTTAAGCACCTTGATGGTTATCTTGAATCTCATAACATTCTTTATCCACTTCAATTTGGCTTCAGGCAAAAGTGCTCGACAAATCATGCACTGATACAAATTACTCAATCAATCCGTAACTCAATTGACAACAATGAGTTTGGCTGTGGCATTTTTATTGATCTAAAAAAGGCATTTGATACAGTTAATCATTCCATTCTTTTATCAAAACTGAATCATTACGGAGTGAGAGGTAAAGCGTATGACTGGCTTCATTCGTATCTGTCCAATAGAGAACAATTTGTATGTATAAATGGCCATAACTCTGATTCTCTCCCAATCACTTGTGGAGTACCTCAGGGATCTTTTCTTGGACCCCTGTTGTTTTTGCTATATATTAATGATTTACCAAACCCTTCGAAACTGCTCAGTTTTCACTTATTTGCTGATGACACTAATATATATTTTTCTCGTAAAAACCTTAATGATCTTGAACTAATCTTAAATCAAGAGCTCCATGCAGTGGCATGGAAGAAAGTGGAAGAAATCTAATAGTTCTCAGTATTTTGAAAACTAATTTTGTTCTTTCCCATTCTAAGAGACTTAAACCAAACAAGTCATTAAATCTAAAAATTGATGGTGTGAACATCTAAGAAGTTTCCACGGTCAAATACTTAGGTGTCACTTTTGACTCAAACTTGACTCGGAAAAATCATGTTAATGAACTCTGCTTAAATCTATCGAAAACTGTAGGTATATTTTGATATACCTTTTGATATACTTATTATACTTTACTATCCTCTTATTTACCCCTTTCTTACTTATGGTATTCACGTTGGGGGTCTCACATACCTAACCTAAAACCGGTAACTACTTTGCAAAAACGAGTCATCAGAAAAATGACTTTTTGCGACCCTAGATCTCATTGTGAGCCATTGCTGAAGTCTCTCAGACTCCTAAAATTCTCTGTTATAATTCGTCTTGAAATCTCTCTTTTGTTTATCATAAACTAAGCCCTTCTTGTTTTGTTAATTATTTTAACCCAGTATTTTCAATTCATTCATATAATACACGTCAATCAAAGAGTGATAATCTGTTGGTTAAATCTGTTCATACCACTCAATATGGCATTCGTTCTCTCAGTTACACTGGTCCAAAACTTTGGAATTCTTTATCTATTGATGTTAAGAAAATCAAGCCGTTTTCCAGTTTTCGTCAATATATCAAGAATTCTGTGATTCATGGTTACAATACTATTATTGATTCCTAATGTTTTACGATTATATTATCTTAACTACTATTTAATTAATGAAGTAATACTTTTTATCTAAAACAACTATTTTGTGTCTATATTCCTTTTACTCATATTCATGTTTGGGTCACCTACTCGGTTAGTTCCACGAACTATTTAGGTGTCCCAAACGCTGCACAATGAACCTACAATTGAAATTCTCTTTCCCATCACAATCTCTCGATTTTATATTTTAAAGCACTAATTTGTATTAATTGTAATTATTTTGTGTGAGTTTAAATAAAAATTTACTTGACTTAGCAAATGGTCCAGTTTTATTCACTCATGCATTTTTGAAAGAACACGTTCAGTATCCTCAGCGAGTCGAGGCCCAGAATCAGCTAGCCAAAGACCGGAATCCTCAGCAAGTCAGAATCCAGAATCCTCAGCGAGTCAAAGCCCAATTCCAAAAAACCAGACTCATTCTCAGCGAGTCAACTAGACTGATCCTCAGCGAGCCATCCAAACCTATTCTCAGCGAGCCAACCAATGATGTTCTTGGCCAATCAAGACCCAGAATCCTTAGCGAGTCAAGGCTTAGAACCCCCAGCGATTCAAGACCCAGAATCCTCAGCGAGTCAAGACCCAGAATCCTCAGTCCTCAGCCAAGCTTATTCTCAGCAAGTCATCAGGACCTATTCTCAGCGAGCCATCTGAACCTACAATCGGCGACAAAATTGTTGAGACATTGTACTTAACTAGGGTAACTTCGGAGAACAAAAGAATCTGCACCCCTCCCCTCTTCCCTCCATTCAAAGTTGGGGTGTTTGTTGTTTTCTATAGTTAGCTAGAACAAGGGCACAACATTGCACGGAGGGGATGGGAGAGGAAAGCAATATTTCCTCCTTTTGAAGTTAATAAAACGTAAAAAAGTCCAGTTTAGGGCGAAGTGTCTCAACTCATTTTGTCGCCGATTGTCTGAATCGAAATCTACGCGCTGTTGTCTTATTAGCATCGGTTAGGAGACGGTAACTAGTTGAGATTACTATATTCACCGGGTCGTTTTTCAGAAGATAGATAAAATACCCATATAATCCCTTTCCTGTGTTTTTCGAGGGAAAATTAGTTTTGACAATCTTTGTACTCGGTAGTGTTTTCAAGTAATTACGCAGCGAACTATTACCACGAATTACCACGTACCGAATGGTTGATTTTCCTCTGGTAACTAAGTGCGATCGGTAGGAATCGATGGCATGTAATATATTGTATTTGAATATATCCCTAGTAAGTTCAAAGTGTTTATTCGAAGTTTGGCTATTTGATAAGGGTGTGATGGACGATAAAATAGCCACGATTGCTATGCGCAGGAGAATTTTCGGGAAAAATGTTCCAACTTCTAACGCACAGCTAAGATGGAAAGCATCGGTAAATCTGTGAAGCAGATTCGTTGCCCGTATACCCATAAGGGTCTTCGAAGAATGTTGTTTACAGTAGAAACTATGAGGTCAGGAGGAGACTGGCCACGAGTAACCACGAGTAACCAACTTTGTTCTTAAAAGATAATCAGATTATTTTATTTTATACTCATCGTGGTTACTCGTGGAAATTCCTCCTGAAGAGCAATTTTAGCCATTATAACTACTTTAATGCCTAGAAATCTATTAAGTTTTCTATCCTTTTCACTTTTTCTTTGTTTCCATGCGCTTCGATAAAGGAGAGAATAAAAAAACGTGCGCGACGCGCTACATCGCGCGATGTCAAGGCACGGTTAAGTGTGACACGAAATGTCACGCACTGAAAATAACGAAATCGCCTTATTCTATTTGTTCTAAAATAGCTATGATGAAGTCGAACATAACAAATAAATTAATTTTGTTTTTTCTGGCTTGACTGTTCATTAGCGACAGGCATGTGACTCATTGTTTGTGATAAATAAACAATTTTTTTCCTCTGAAAAAATTCATCAAAGAGAAGAGATTCTCCTAAGGCTTAAAATTTACATCCAATTTTTTCCTTAGATCCTTGGAAGTTATAAAATTAAATTGGCAATTTTTCCATCTCTAAGTTATTATTTTTTTGTAACAGCTGAGAAAAATAGTTCTGTCTCCGCTGTTTATTGAACTGATCAAACCAAACCACCACTATTTTGTATTAATTAATATAAGGTTTCTTGAAAGAATTGCTTCATCTACCGTAAAAAGGTAAAGGTTTTTGCTCACAACAGGAAGACTTCTTTTGATATCACATGAGTTTAAGTGTTTGTGTTTTTTCCGGTTGCATTCAAAGCACAACCATTTTGTTGTTGGATGGAATGCAGATTCAGGGATATTAGCACAATCTGGATGGTACCACTCACAGCATCCACAACACTTGACATAAGCAGCGTTATTGTTAGGCAATCGGCATGTGCAGTAAATAGGTACTTTTTTGCCTTACCACACGATGAACAAGCTCAACTGTATCATCAGTTGGTGGGAACTCGGTCATCCTTGAAGACTCCAGGCAATCAACAAGATGCTGGCGCATGGCTCTCGGGTCATATCTCTTGGTGGTGGGGTCACCACCGTGGCAAAGAGTGGTGACAAAGGCTATAGCAAAGAGTGCACAGTCATTGTAGCCCTTCTGCTTTTGCACTTTCTGATTCTTAATTTTAACTATGTTGCCTTTGTAGTGCAACATTCTGCGTGCATGTTCTACTGTTTTCCTGGCAGGGTTTCCATACAGACTATCATATACTTTGACTTCTCCAGTGGGACAGGAAATGGCACTGAGACACACCCAGTGTGACCATGTGTTGATTATCAGTACAAATTCACTTGCAGCAGGAGTCACTAGATCACCAACAACACTTGGATCTTCCAAGCCATCAACTAA